AGGCCCTTGTAGGTGATATGGGTTTCTTCTTGCTTCTATCTGGTTGCTATCGTTTATTCCTTGCCTGAGGTTCTGGAGATGGCTGAAAACAAACCTCACAATCCTTAAGAGCAAGCTGATCCTGTACCAGAATTCTGACCAAATTGTGTATATATATATATATATATTAAATGAATGAGTGTTGATAGACGTCTGACCGCATGACAAGGAACTTCATATCTCCCACCACCACCTGGATCCTGTCCATCCCTGATTTCATTGGATTGCAGTCACAGGGCAGCTTGCTCTGGCAGGTGCTTTCTCCCTATGCCAGGCTAAGGATGTGACCTGCTTCTCTCTTTGGCAGCCGTTATGTGACATGGCCAGACTCTGAGGAAGAACAGAGTGAGGAGGAGGAGGAAGAGGAGGAAGAAGAGGATCTCTACAATAAAAGGTCCAATGGGTTGAGTGAAGGTGAGGAAGGTTGGTAAGAGGAGAGAGTGTTGGGTAGGAGAGGAGGGGGCAATTAGACTTTCATTCCAATTCATGCCTGCTCTCCATATCTGTAACTTGCAGGGGAGGATGAGGAGGAAGAAGAGGAAACAACAGCCGAAGGCTTTGCCAATCAGGACCCCAGCTCAGGGACAGAAGAAACCCCCTCAGACACATCAGTGGGGGAGGAAGGGGCTAGTGTGGAGGAGAGGCAGAGTCCCAACACATCTCCCCAGCAGCACCCTCAGTCTCCTCATATGCTGTCTTCCAGTCCCAGTCCTCCTACAGCCAACCAGGCAAAGCGCAAATGCTGTCTGCCACAGAAGCGGCCAAAATTGCTTTTTACGCTCCAGCCCGTCAATTCTAATGGTACCAGTGACTGGATGGCTGGCCAAGATGAGGGCAATCCTGTCTCCTTCAACTGTAAGTCCCTGTGGTAACTTCAAGTTTGTGATAACAAGCCTTCTGCCAAGAAAAAGTTTGGTGATGAGGTCTGAGGGTTGGTGACCAAATTTGGAATGTTGGGGATGTGTCATTGGCATTGCCATAAAAGGGTTGCCATGGGAACATCCATTCCTATTATGGCGGCTGGGATAGAGAGGCTGAAATAGAAATCTTGTGCTTGTGAGCCTCAATACGTGGTAGAAGTCAGGACAGAAACCCCAAATACTGACTCCTTTGCATCTGTGGGCTTTGCTTATGATGCTACACAAGGCAGACTTGTTTCTGTTACTCCATATACTGCAAGTATGAGTTTTCCTCATTCACGGTCAGCTCACCCTGTCTCTGCTAGTTTCCCTTCCTAGGTTACTCATCACAGTTCCTCCTCATTACCCATTAGATCTTGCCACATGTTCCCACTGCATCGGATCATCCTAGTCCCTCAGTTATCTCAGTGCCCTCTTTACTGAGATGTGCTAATAGGCCTGTCCCTTATGTCCTTCTGGTCCTGGGATTTTATAAGTGAGCCCAAATGTCCCCAGAGGCAGCCATAGTGCATTAAGGACTGGAAAGGTGTATACTGTCTTGGCTGCTCACAGTATGTGCTGGGAAGAAAGTCAAGACAAGAGAGCACTCATGCAGTCTGCTGAACTCATTGGATAACATGCAGTGTTCCTGGATCTCTGACCCAATTTCTCATCCTTTACTCAGCCCAACCGTATGTTGCTCTGGACTGGGATTCTGAAATGAAGAAGCGCTATTACAATGAGACTGAGGCTGAAGTGAGTATGCAGTTTTCCAAGTACGGAACCCTCTCTTTTCTTTCTTTCCTGTAGCATTGTGCTCAAGTTGTTCAACATGGACTACTGAGATTTAGGTTCAAGTGTAGACTCAACCACAGATCTCACTGGGAGGTTTTAGGCTAGTCACCCCTATCAGTCTTACTGAGTTGTGCAGATAATATAAAGTGGCACCTGATGTATGCTATCTCAAACTCCCCCCAAAATTTCCCAGCTATAAATGTAAAAAAGATCTCTCTTTTCCTTTCTGCCCTGGATGAGAAGTTAGTCTCTGATCCCTTTGTCCATGATGTGTGTGTGTTTTTCCCTTTAGGGCTATATCAAACACGACTGTATGGGCTACACACTGAAGAAGAACCCTGTCAAGCTGCAGGAGTGCATTGACTTGTTCACTACCATGGAAACATTGGAGGAGGAAAATCCCTGGTGAGAACCGAGTGCTTACCTAATGATAGAGGCTCTTCCATTGGGGCAGCAGGGAAGGGTGAGGTGATTGGATGCTGTCTCAGGTGCTGATCATTTCAAAGCTCAGTAGGCATATTAGCAGATAAGCTACTAGGAGATAACGGTAACAAAATGAGAATGTTGCACGAGCCAAACGATTCCATATGGATCTTATTTCATAATAATCCTAATTAGATAAACAGAAAATCCAGCAGATTTTGGGAAGTATAATCAGAACAGAACTCTTAGCTACAACATCCTTCCATGCTAAAGCCTGTCCCAAGGTTGGGGGGCAGGGGAGAGGAGAAGGAGGCCATTCCTGGATAAGAGTATGACATCCTTCTTGGCAGTAGCAATTGATTGTTGTACTGAAGTGAGAGGCCAACGACACTGCAGGTGGTGAAGGTAACATTGTGCTAAAGTGCACTGTCAGATGTTATTTGGACTGTTCTGGTCCTTTCATTCAGTGAAGCACAGCATGGAATAATTCAGTCTTCAGAATGTTTGTACACTTCTGGTCTCTTGATCAAATGTTTCCATCTTGTTTCTCTGGCGTTCTCTCCCCTCCCCATCAAGTCTCATTCAGAATTTCTTTTTGGTGTATATAATTTGTGAAATGTGAGTCCTCTTGGAGGAAAAGGTGTCAAGCTCATGAGTTCCTCTATTACAGGTATTGTCCCACCTGCAAAAAACACCAGCTTGCCACCAAGAAGCTGGATTTATGGTCGCTACCAGAGATCCTGATTATTCACCTCAAGCGCTTCTCTTATACCAAATTCTCCCGGGAGAAACTTGACACCCTCGTGGAATTCCCTATCCAGTAAGCCAGTGGACCCAATCATAAGTTCTTGTTACCAGGAGTGAAATGGGTGGATGCTGTATGTGGCTGACTTTTGGATAGCATACAGTACTGTGCAAAAGTTTTAGGCAGGTGTGAAAAAATGCTGTAAAGTAAGAATGCTTTCAAGAATATATATTGTAATCGTTTATGTTTATCAATTTACAAAATGCAAAGTGAGTGAACAGAAGAAAAA